TCTTGGCTGCTTTGGTAGATTCCTTTGGATCGATGACCTTACCCAAGTTGTTGGAGACTTTGGTTGATTCTTATCTCTCTCTGGACGGTGAATTGCATGGCGTGAAAGGCTGTTCCTGAGCCTAGGCATTTCAGCCGAAAATAGGAGCAAGAATGGTGTGCTCCAGTTGGTACAAGGGAAGTAGATTTCTGCCTTTATTTAAATTCTGATTTCAGTACCTTGATATATATACATTTTGCCTTGTTTATTTGTCTCGGTTTTATGATGTTCAGTCCTCAGTTCTTTATGATTTCTACTGTCTGTTGATTAATATATATGATATGAAAATGTTAGATCATTATGCTATATATTTTGTAACTTAGAAGAATCTGATTACGAGCTGTTGAACTCTGTTAGCATTGGTTTGGAGTCTATATATGCTGTGTTTTCCCCAACATAAGTCTTTACATGAAATTAGGTAGTGGGATCTAAATGCTACAGAATTTGAATGTTAGACACGTGAAATAATAATCACTTATTTTAGCAAGTGTACATGTATAATTTTTACTATTTTAATGGTTTTGATCAAGGCTGTGACTGCTTATGTAGATTATGACGTGATTATACATGCGCTCTAAGGGTGGATTGTTATTATTATTAATTTTGCAGCAAATTTGGTGACACGTGATATTTTAATATATATATATATATATATTACTTTTTTTCGTTTCTTGTTCTAGTTGAGGTCATTTTTGGTTGAAAATATATAGTTGGTAAAGAGCTAAAAATATTGTTAAATAATGAGATGAGATACCACCTACATTACACTAGATGCGAATCTGAACACATTTTTGGAAGGAATCAAGCGCGTGCAAGCAATGACGAAATTAACGAAAACCGTTCCCTAAAAAAATACTTGCGGGGTTTGTTTAGTTTAGCTATTGTACCTGTAATCTTTATCAGTGTGTATTTGAGGAAAATTTGTCTATTATCTTTCCCAATGCTGCAAACATATGCTTCGACAAGATTGGAATAAGGTTTGTAATTCGATTAATCAACTATATCACATTGATTATATGAGCGGTTCACGATTGTATTGGATTGATGAATAAAGACGAAGGGTATCGCGTCGATAATTTAATTACCATAATTTCAAAGTATGAACGTAGAGAATCTAACAAATACTAGTAGTCTTCTTTGCGGTTCCGTCAGCAGTACACGCCTGCAGGGATGCATTTTAAGTTGAAACTACCTATTGACTACCAGTTCAAACCTGTAGTTAATCTTTCTTTAGAAAAAATACAAGTGAGATTTTTAATAAATATATATATAAATAATCTAACTTTAAAAATAAATAATAAAATGAATAAATTGGTGGCCCCTATTGGTTGGAGTTCTTCCATGCATGCATAAGATTTGACATATATATGCCTTCACATTACGTACACAAATCTGGTGAAGGTATATCTATTTTAACTTTGTGCAGCTGTCACGAAGTAGTCAATTATTTAATCACCTCAGTTTCGATGAACCTTGGAAACTTCTATTTTTCTGTATATTATTTTAAACTATTTCGTCTTAAAACTCACACTTATAGACATGTATCAAATTTATTACTTTATCTTGACAGTCTATTGGTTCTTAACATAAGCACATATATTTTAATAAACCTTCTAAACTAACTTTAAATTCAACTCTTAAAGTACTCTCTCTATATATAATCTAAAGATAGAAAGCATTTCCAAATTGCTTTTGAGTTTCCTCATAATTAAAGTGGATTGTGTCTATTTTCCATACACATACACAATGAGAGATGATGATACACCATGTTGTGAGCCAAAGTTCTGGGTTAATCTGGCTATATCTTTGTTCCTAGTGTTATTTGCTGGTCTTACATCTGGTCTTAGTATAGGACTATTGTCCTACTCCCAGGTTGATCTTGAAGTCCTCATAAAAGCAGGTCTCCCTCAAGACAAGAAGAATGCTGGTAAGTACTCTTTCATATTCCTCTTATCGTCGTCTATCATTCTCGTTAAAGATCATCTGGTTTAATTTCCTTGTCCGCATGATATCAATATTGTTATATATAGTTTGATTGCATAGTAACTGTTATGATTGAAACGAGTATAATAATATGACAATATGGAAAATAGATCAACCAAGAGTACAAGATTTACGTAGTAAATATATACCACGGGCAAAAGATTGGATAGTTTTATTAATATCAATAATGGATGATTGCAAATTATTGTGTAGAATGTAAGGATTGAATTTTTAGAGGTTTACTCCTCATATATATAGTACAAGAAGAGTCTCAGAGATGTGGTAGAGTTCGACTATAATTAAGTCTATACAATAATAAAGTGCTTGAAATAAAATAAGATTCAAAAACTGCCAAAAAACATGAACATAATTTTTTTCGAATAAGACCACCGCTCGATTAGTGATACCGTGGCTATCGAGCAGTGGCCGGCTGCTCGAGTGGCTGCCTCACCAACATCGAGAGCCGATCTCCTGTTTTGGGTGCTGAGCGAGACCAAGGCGCTTAGCGAGCACCAATTCACCTTTTCCTCCTCTTTGCATGATTTTCTTCTTCTTGGACTCTGTTCTTCAAATCTAACACAAATTTCAAACTCCCAACATAACTCCCAATTTGAATTCCAACTAAAATTCACAAATAGACTTTAAATAGAATTCGAGTGACACCCTAATTCTAATAGCAACTATAAAATATTTTCTTTCATAATTATTTGTAAAGTCTGGTCAATATTTTTATTTTCTTTTATCATTTCCAGATAAAATTTTGCCTATTGTCAAGAATGAGTGTTTACTACTATGCACCCTTCTCATTGGGAAATCTCTGGCTTTGGAGGTTAGTATATCAATAAAGTAGAGAGTATTGATTTGTTGTTTAATTAATACTGTCCAGCATGGTACATTCCACCTTTGATCAACGAATGTGCCATAGTGGCTAATTTCTTGGATTCACTGTTTTGACTGATTAAATTTTTCTCTTTAGACTCTTCCAATTTTCTTGGATACAATTTTTCCTTTTTGGGCAGCCATCCTGGTTTCTGTCACTCTTGTAGTAGCCTTTGCCGAGGTACACAATGATAATTGAATTCATTTTTTCTGTCATATTAAGGTTACGACAGCGTTTAGTTTCATGTTTATTACTTACTGTACATGGTTCAGGTTATCCCACAAGCGGTCTGCTCCAGATATGGACTAAGTTTTGGTGCTAAATTTGTCTCGTTTGTTCAGTTTCTCTTGTTCATTTTCTTCCCAGTGGCATACCCGATTAGTAAGGTAATGACCAAGGTCAACTGTGAAGGACAAGTAATTTTTTCTTCTAGTTTGGTGGCAAACAGGCTTTTACAGGCTGGGTCAAATCAAGCCGGCATCCCAATCTACTTTGACACCACTAGTTCAGCCTCCTTAACTCAAGACTCTTCATACATTTTGACTTTCAATATGTATTAAGTTATTGAGACAAGCAATGTCAAATGTCCCACAGTTGTACGCCGGACAAGGCCGACATGTGAACAATTTGCATGAACTGGTGTTGTCGAGGCTTACTAGTTACTACTGACCTTTGTGTACTCTTCACCATTTTAAATCACCTCGTTTAAAAGTTTTAACTTATCTAATGATAACAGTATTTTCGGGTTTTTTGATATGGCAGTTGCTTGATTGGCTTCTTGGGAAAAGCCGTTCTGCACTTCTTAGAAGAACAGAACTGAAAACACTGGTGGATTTGCATTCAATTAAGGTTACATTTACTTCAATTCTAGTGCAATTTTCAGGAATCCGACCCCCCCCCCCCCC